TTTATATACAGTTTATCAGTCTCGAATGAGGGTTGGGCAAAACAGTAATACCTGTTTTTATTTTAATTTCAAAATTATCAGTCATTCCACAGTACAAAATTTAAAAAGGAAACTACTTGTAGTCAAAGATATGACCAAGGTTTGCCACTCTGCAGGGGATGGATTCTATTACAAGTTCAAATACACAGATGAGAAGAAACAACCAACAGTAACGAACAACAGATGCCAGAATATAATTTAATAAGAATTAATTATAACAAGATACATGAAAACATCAGTGCATGGAAAAATATGTGATATTCATTTCTGTGTGGAAAAATGTATAACATTATATATCTGAAATGAAAAGTCAGAGCACACTTAACTTTAGTCTCTCACCTGAAATGAAATAAGATTTTCACTTTTCTTTTTTTTTTCTCTCTTTCTTTGTTTTATATTTCTCTTTTCTTTTTACTTTCAGTTCAATTCTTTCACCCATGCAGCAATATCTTTTGATCTGTTGTTCTGTCTTCATTGTTATCAGTTTTGACCCCAGGAGTTGGTTGTTTACTGTCTTCTTCACATATTTAGCAATGTAGAATTCATCATTTGGGTAGGAAGATTCAGTACTGTATAAGTCATAGCTTTAATTGGTTGGGTTACACAGGTCAGTCTTAAGTGATTATCATGCTTAGTAATTCACCCATACATTTGATATATACAGCTTTGTTGAGTTAAATTGGAACTCATCTCCATTGTGTATTTTCCCTTGCTTGATGGTAACAAGTTAAAAAAGGTGGTACTTGCTTAAGATTCATGTTCCAACTGATTCTTTCCAATATTTTCCTGCTCAATGTTTCATACTTGATCATGTGATTCAGCACATGTGTGAAAGTCTATTTTTAGCTCTTGTCCAAATCGGTTTCTGAGGTCATCAGCCTGTCTGACGTAATTGTTCTCATAGTCAGTGACTACTATGACAGATTGAAAAAGAGAGGGGGAGTGAATGTATTATAGATAGGTGGGAAGAGAGATGGTTCGCTAAGTGTAAAGTGTGCATAGTTAGGGGTTTTGGCTGCGTGAGGATATAACACTATATATATATATAAACTATAAAGTGTCTACAAGCCCAAAAGAAAATATTTGTAATATTACTTTCAATTTTCCTACCCATAATCTTCTTTGAAAATAATTGTTCCTCTGAATACACACTGAAAGCAAAGAGCTGTCATAGGATTTCTGTTTTTGAAAGGAGAAAGTGCTGCAAATATTCACAAGTGGTTATTAAATGTTTATGGAATGGCTGTGCTTCATGTAATCTCAGAAAGCAGATAGAGCAATAGAATCTATGACAATTCCAGAAAAAAATTAAAAAAAATAACTTTAATTGAATGGCAATTGCTGCTGTGAATAAATCCTTTATCATTTCAGCCCAAGCAAGGAAATAAAGCCACTAAGATGCAAGGAGGTTACTGAATGTAAGAGAATATGAGAAGAAAAACTATTAGAACAATAAAAAAGCAGGAATTAAGAAGACAAAAGATGACAATTTTTATTGCATTTATATTTTTGAAGATCAAAGTTGACTGGGAAGCAAGAAGCCAGAAAAGAGTTTCACAAGCAAAAAATGTGATAGAAGAAACTGTTAGCATAGAACTTAAGGTTTCATCCAGCCATTTCAACTGTAAAATGCTGATACCCTGCTGCCAATCTAGTACTGGACTTTAAAATCTAGGTACCATAAAGGAAAGTTGATCAGAATAATTACCATAAAAGTATTTATAGAAAAACATATAGGATGCTACATTATGGCAGTGGAAAAGTGACTGAACTACTGGACTATATGTGACAGTAAGTATAGGCGAATGGTAGACTTATAAATATGTAAAATAGATTTTGGTGAGAAAAATTGTCTAGTGAAACACAGTGAACCAACTTTCCTAGCTTCAGATCTAGCAAGTGATTCAATATAATTTTTCCACTTTGTCAGTGGAAAACAATATAAACAAAAAATTACTCTGTGAAAGCCTTTGCAGTTTAGTGCAGTCTCTTGTCTATTCAAAGGTTTGAATAGCCAAGAGACTGCCCTAAATTGCAAAATGCTTTCTTAGAATGCTTAGAGATTAGATGCTACCCAAGTGCTTCTGACATCCTGATCAAGCACCCTCAGACTTTCATCTATTTGAGTCTGTGAAGGAGACATTCAGAGAATAACAGTTCTCCAATCATTAATGTGAAAGAGACAACTTACACATGGCTAAAAAGCAGCCAAGAAGTTTCTATGAGATGCATATACATGTCATTATTCCGTTGGAATACCACATTTGAGAAGGAAGGAATCTATGTTGAGGACTAAATACGGAATCCTGAGGCTTGTGTGTTCATTTTGGTATGCTGTATCTGCTTCTACTATTAAATTTGTTGTAATTAAAGAATAACAAGTCTTACTTTTTGATCACCACAATCATCTCCCTGGTTCTTGTTTGCCTGCTCAGCTTTTTATTACCCTCAGGAATCACTTCTTCTGGCTATACCAGAGCAACAGGTCTGATTTCAATAGACATCTCTTTGTTACTACCTGAAATGAGTGCAAGCATGCCCTCAAAGAAGCAAAGCTGTCATTTGCTGATAGAATGAGACACCATATAGCCTCACAAGTTTGGTTCTAGGGATTACAAACGGCTCTGCAAGAGTGTGCTGAACAATAGCAAATCTTCAGTCCCTCCTCTCTTCAATCAATTTGAAATATTGACATCTACTGCAGATAAGGTAGACGGCTTTGCTTGGAAGTTCTCTTCTAATCTGCCAGATTTTCACTCTAGAATAGAAGCCACATTTCGTAACATACTCATGACCCCTGTCATTGGTTTCTGGCATCATCTTGAAATTAGACACCCCCCACACGCATGCACAAAAGGCAAACAGATATGACATGATCACTGCAATTGCCCTAAGGATATGTGCTCCTGAGGTTGGCTCCTGTCCTCTCCAGAATTTACAACAAATGCTTCACTGCTTCCTGCTTTACAGATTGTTGGAACTCACCCTCAGTCGTTCCTGTTTTTAAAAACTCTAAGGAACCCTCCAATCCCTCAAATGATTGCCCTATTAGTCTCTTTCATCTTTTGGGTAAAGTATTCAAGACCCTAATCAATTGGTTAAGCATTTTACTTCATATGACCTCTTTTGGACAAACAATATGACTTCCAGGTCTACCACCAACATGTTAACAGATATCTCTGAAGTTATCTATCAAGCTTTAGATAATAGTGAAGTTGAGACAATGGCTCTAGATATAAAGTGTTCAACAGCTTGAGGGCTATAGTGTCAAGGGATGTATATTTGGCTTAATCCAATCATTCCTAACTAATCTGTTAATGAAGGTCATATTAAATGGGCATGCTTCCAGGTCATTTCATACTGGGGCTCTATCTTTGGGCCTATGCTGTTTCTGATCTTATCAATGATCTTCCTGATGTCATCACTTCCCAACTAAGTATTTATGTAGATGACATTACTATTTACTTCTGCCTTAATAGCAAACCCAACAAATCCTACAAAATAAACCTGACATTTACTTTTGACCTCTAGTCAGTTGTTAACTGGGACAAGAAATGCTTGTAAATTTTCAATACCTCAAAAACAAAATTATCACAGAGAATCTTTTCTGCCTGTCATCAGGCTGGTTGATGCTAAACTCCAGGAGAGCTATGCCCTACGCCTTCTTGGCCTTGTTTTCCACTGACATGAAGTCGACTGACTATATTGAGGCAATTGCTATGTCTGTTGCAGGAAGTTTGGTTCACTGTGTCATGACCAAAAGTATTTTTTCGTCTAAATCCATCTTGCAGATTTATAAATCTATCATTCGTCTATGTATTGAATATTGTTGCCATATCTGGTCTGTTGACAAAATCCAAAGAAGAGTCTGCAATACACTGAATCCTGACCAGGCATCTCATCTTCAATCACTTTCTCATCAACATAACATAGCTTCCCTGTTCTATAAATATTTTCATGGTAACTGCTCAGACAAGCCTTTTTTCCTGGTGCCTCAATTACATAAATTTAAGTCTGCTACTAGATTGGCAACTAGGTCTCGCCATTTTATTGTTGAACTAGCTAGATGTAACTGTCATTTTTACTCTAACTTTTTTTGTTTCTAGCACTTCCCACCTGTGGAAATCCTTTCTGATTTCTTGCTTCCCTGATAACTATAATCTTCAAAAATTTAAATGCAATATCAATTGCCATCTTGTCTTTTTGAAGCCTGTTCCTTTTTTTAGCCCTTTCCTCAATCCTCCCCATTTTCAATCTTCTTCACTTTCACTCTCTGTAACTCCCTGCATTCTAGTGGCATTGTCGCTTTGCTTGTGGTAAAATTATTTTTTTTTAAAAAATAAATCAACTATCATATATTAACCAGTATTTGCAAGTTTGACTTTGTGATTAGAGCTCAGGATTGACAATTAAAGGTGAAATTATATGTTGAAAATGATGTTACTCATTTTTATAAAAGCAAACTATTTTCCAATATAATCTAAAATTTCTTTCCCTAAACATTAGAATCTGCTTTACATAATATGAGTACATGATGTATTTAACTAGAATTTAAAAGCATTTTCTTATAATTTAGTCACATATTAGTTTTCCACTATCTTTGAAAATGCCGGCATATATAACATTATTTTATTAATGACTTAGTTTTTAGATTTTCATGTGTGAGTCTTTAAATAGATTTTTTTCCAGGTTACAGAGCCAAACTTTTCGCCTTCTGACTTTGTAAATATTAAAGAGTCTGGCTTTGTGATAACAAAGAAAATTGTCGCCTTGAATAGAAGAAAATTTGTGGTTGGCATATGAATATGTAGTCCTGTGATAAATACACACGTGTTATGAACACTTTTTAATATGAAAGTTATTAAAAATACTAATGACTTTTGATTCATTTTTTGGAGATTTAATTTTGGTTGTTATTTCCCCGAATTATTTTTTAGGCATCTTCACAACAATATTTGCTGATGCTCTCATACCTAAAAGACTGCCTCAAGTAAGTTCTCTTTTGATCTCAAAAATACTTGTATGCTGCTGTATTAATATCTATATTGCCTAAGGAATCATTTCAGCCAACAAAAGATCAGTCTTGTTTAGTATCTACTATTTTTTTTTTTTTTTTAACAAACCCATATTTTGTAATAAACCATTTCATGTTTTAGCTTTACACTATAATCACCCAGTCAATTGGTTACCTGACATCATAATTCATGTTTAGTTTAATTCTGAATTCATTATGGCAAACAGGAAAGTGTATACCTGTCACCCCAACCTCTAAATTTACCCCAAATCCCAACCTTTGTTATAAGCAAGGTAATCTTGGATGCAAAATAATTTTCATATGTTAGGAAATATGTTAATCACTAGAAGTATTTGTAAACAAGAAAGTCTCTCTGATTTTGTTTAGACAATCAGATTCTCTGTTCTTGAAACTGCTACATCTGTTTCGGCCATTTTATTTCCTTTCTGACAAAAGCTGTAGAACAGGTTGTTTGGAATATTGTGGTAACAACGCAACTATCCAAACAAAACTTTTAGTGTTAATGACTCTTCTAAAAGTTATGGACAAAAACTAAATATATTGGAATGGATTTTCTATACAAATGGACAGGATCGTTTTGTTCCCACATTAAGCCTATTGAGTAGGAATTTTTAATAAAGGATATTATAACCTAAATTTAACTAAAGCACAAACTGCATCACATTTAAATGTGCCTCACCTGATAAGAATAAAGAATAGAAAAATTCTACCTATTTTAATATGCAGATGCTTTTAAATTATAATTTTACTTCCTTTTAGTTATCCTGAGAAACTGATTGAAGAAAATGTTCCTGATAGTATTTTGAAATGTTTGACATATACTCAGGATCCTGATCAGTTTTCATTAATTGTTGACGCCGTCAAAGTACTCATATCAACTCCAAGGTAGGTTCATTTCTTTCTTTCTTAATTCTGTCGAGCATATACACACACACACACACACACACACACACACAGAGGGTGCGATGATAAAATTGTCGCCATTTCATATTTTTAATTTCACACATGCTTGTTGTTTGTTTTTAATTTTTAAGATAACTTTTCTAGTTCAATTTATTTTTGCTATTGTTTTATCTTGTATTTTTTTCTTTTTCTACTTTTTATTTTTTTTATCTTTGTATATCTGTCAGTCCGGGATATCTTGATTCCATTTCATGAAATGTAGTCAGTCAGATGAGATGAATATACTTATATTCATTGAAATAAATTTATTACTGACTATGGATTTTTAAGGTTTTTTTCCTAATTATTCTTATGATTTGCTCTGTATCATAAATTGTGCTCTCATATGGACTGAAAAGTCCTCTTTGAAATAATCCCGCCAATTACAATTTGGTATTTTATACATATATATATATATATATATATATATATATATATATATATATAAAGAAATATAGTCTTAAGATGTGCTATATTTATGGGATAAAGTGCTCAATATCAGAGATAGAGCATGTGTAAATATAAAAGTGAACATAGAAGTCAACACTTAGAGTTGGCAGTCTGTTTCATGCTAGATGCAATCGTCAGGCCTGATGATTGCATCTAGCATGAAACAGACTGTCGCCTCTGTGTTGACTTCTATGTTCACTTATATATATATATATATATATATATATATATATATTTATTTATTTTGATTGTCATTTAAGGATGTTTGTATTGTTCATATCATCATTCACATGCACGTGTATAAAATTATCTATATCTTTTTCTCATGTTGTAGTTTGCTTGATAACTTGATGTCTTGTGGAATTTTACAAAGTCTTGGACAAATACTGAAAATGGTAAATTCTTTTCAATATATTCAAAAACTTGCCAACAACCTTCATTGAAAATTACAAAAAAACATTTTTTTTTAAAGTTTTTCACAATATTATTAAACTTCATAAAAGCATGGAAAGCTGTTTTATGTAGTAGCATGATTTCTTCCTAGTGTCAATTTAAAGTGACTTTTTTTTTTTTTTTTTTTTTAATATTTTAGATATATGGAAGAACAACTTCCATATATATAAACCATAATTTTGTAAAGTGAAATTTTCTACTGAAATATGTTGGAAAATTTACAGTTTTTGTAGAGGTTAAGAGATTATCACTTATGGGGATTATTAGGTTATCTGTCAACATTAATTTATCTACATATTAAGGGGTATATTTAGTTTAACAGATAATGGACAAAGTGTTGAAAAATACAAAATATATCTTTATATAACTATATAATTGTTATAACCTAGGGAAGGTTACTGAATAGAATAATCACACAAAGGTTGGTAATGAACAATAATACTTAGGACAAGAACACCTCATATAAGATTTTGACCCAAATAAGAGTTGACATGCCGTTAAATCCAACATTCAATCCATATAAGATTTGCCAGCAGCGCGTAGTCAACTGCTACAAGTGAGTGCCACAATGTATCTCTAACTGAAGACCAACCTACAATATTCACTACTGTATTTATGTGAATGGGGACATACCCATTATTGTCCATAGGTATGCTACAACAATAATAATACAGAAAGATAAGGTGATGGTTGAAGTTTCAAGAGTTCAAGTGTAAAAGTCCTGGCATATATGAGAGAGAAACAAGTGGAGTCCAGGAGGAAGTAAATATATATCTATACATATGTATGCATCCAAATGTAATAGTTGATGCTTAATCATGTGGTGAAAGAAAGTATGTTTGTTTTCAATGTAGCAAGGAACAGTTTAGCAGTGTAAGGTTGTCAGATTTCATTTCTTGGGTATGTTACAATGGCTGCAGCATCAGAGAATGGACAAAATGAATTTATCAACTCCGATTTTGGTTGATTTTCCATCTGTTTATAAACATACCAATGGATCCATTTTGAAAAGATTACTTACCTTTGATTGGCTAGCAGCCTTATATATTTTGGTTTCCTTGTTTGTTTATTTTTTTTTTCTTACATACTGGTTGCGAAAGCTTTCTGATTGGTTGGCTGAACTACAACTTTGTTAGCCTGGCAGATTTTATTATCCATCTATTTTTTTTAGAGATAGAGAAATTTTGATTTTGTTATTTATTTTTATTTATTTATTTCTCTATCCCCACATTTTCATCTGAAATCAGAAATTACAAACTTTAAGAAAAATGATCACAATATATGGAAAAATGGTGTAAGTTTAAATTGATGCCAGGAGCATATGGATTAAGCTTCAATGTTTTCTAAAATATTAAGGGTGCAATCATTTTCAGTAATATGATCTTGCTAGTGGTATCTTATGATTTCAAAAAGAAAAATCACAATTGTTTTTCTAATATTTGTAATGTGCCTATAATTTCTTACTATTCAGAATGTTATTTTATGGATACCTATGTTTGAGTAGACACCCTGTTTTTATCTACTTAAACAAAATTAACATTTGAAGTAGTAAGAAATAATGTCAGATAAGAAATCCATTAAATAAACTTTAAACAACTTCACTATGATAACTTTATATAGCATCAGTAAATTATGAAATGTGCTTTGCCTGACCAAAAATCAGTTTTACAAGAAAGAGCTTCTTGGTCAGGCTGAGAACCTTCCAGCAGCTTCTCATATAACTATATGCCTCCTATGAATTATAACTAATACAGCTTGTTGTTACTCTTTGTACATTTTAATCAGCAAATCTCCTCACTCTAACATCTAATATTATCCTTTAACTGAAGTAGGAATTGATCAAATAAGTAGTCCATTTATCATAAAATTGAGATACATGATCTTGTGTGCATGTCTGTGTAGCAAAAATTATAGAAGGTTCTTCTCTTTCCATCTATTTAAAAAGGTTTATCATATGGTTTTGGTTGTACAGTTTAGAAATTATTCTTATAAGTCTGACATTACTTTCAAACTACAATGTATGTCTATAATCACCTTGTTTTCATGAGGAACCATTTTATAATGACTTTTCTCTTTTAGAATGATGATGTCAGCATCCTTCATACAGCAATTCAATTGATCCAATTCATGACTGAAAATAATACAAGGTAAGTTTTTTTCTTTCTTTTTTAAATACTTTCATCTTTGACTAATATCAAATGACACATTACTCAATCCTGAAGGCTGCTTTGTTTTAAGAATACCTCAGTTATATTCAATTGCAGAAAATTTGTGAAGACTAATTGAAAAAAAAAAATCTTCTATATTTAGTGTAATCAACTTGTATGTGCCAAAAGTATAAAATTAGATTAGCCATCTTTCATCATAAAAATAGAATATAAACAAATTTAATAATAAACTTAAAAAATAATAATTTTAAGATCCAACATTAAATATTTTACTCTTGTAAGATTCTGTCTTCAATCTGTAACCTATGAAAAATTCAAGAGGCAGGTGATAAGTAGTGCCATTTTCTGTCTTAAAATGATAAATATTAACAGTATGTGACTATTGATAAAATTACAAACTACTAGACTGACCACTAATGGCAAAAGTCCATTCTCCTGTTTAAAACTTTTTTGAAAAGTTTTATTTCTGAGTGGTATTTAGTTAATGAGGTCATTCTTGTTAATGATGACACAACAACTTTACATTTTTCCATTTAAGTAATTCTGCTTGAAATTTGATACCCTAACGAATTCAAATAATATGTATCCTTAATTTGCAGCTAGAAAAAAGAAATCCCCCCCCCCAAAAAAGGCATTGAAATTATCTGCTCTCTTGTACTTGAAAAATACATATTTTTTTTTTTTTTTTTTCAGTCTGCTAAAGCCAATTGCATCTCTTAAATCTGGGCTGTTTTCTATCCTATGTGAAATTGTCAAAGGTGTTTATCAAAATGAGGTAAAAAGTTTTGTTTTACCATTGTTTATTTGTAATAGTCATTTGGTTTCAGCTCAACCTTATTGCAATACTTGAGGAAATTTACACAACTAGTTTTTTTATTAGATTATCTTAAAAACTACATATTTGTGTAATTACTTCCAAAATGATAGTGTTTAACATAACTTTGTTGTTATACGTTACTCAAATTCCTAACTTACAACTCACATATTTTTAATTTTAAATGCATAACACAATTTGATGGAATAAGGAATGAATATCAAGAAGAGAATAAAAAAACAACATTAGACTGATCTGATTTCTGTACGTTTGTATTTTGATAACATAATAAAAATAGCACATTGTAGTGTTAACCTAATATCATTTAAACTTTGAGAATATTGCACTTTTCAGTTTGATCAGATCAGTTTCCAAGTAATTCTTAATTAAGTATAAAACTCTTTGAAGCTATAATCAACAAGAAGGTTGTTGATCACCTCAATAGAAACAACCTCTTGAGCGACAAATAGTATGGGTTTTAATCGACCTGGTCCACTGCTGATATTATAACTGTAATTACTCACATAATTAGTGAGGCATTTGACAACAAATACATCTCAAGGATGATCACATTTGATATTTCAAAGGCTTTTTGACAAGGTGTGGCTCTCTAGCTATGGAATCACTGGTAGAGTCTTCTCAAGTATAAAGTCCTTCCTAATAAGTGGGTCTCTGAAAGTAGTTGTTAGTGGTCAGTCCTCTGAGATGCTTATGTCTTCCAAGGTTCACTTTTCAGCTCAACCCTCTTCCTACTTTACAAAAGTGATCTACCTTTAATATCTACTGATACTTAAACTCAGTCCAGACCACAAGTGGAACTCGTATATATGATCCTTTGCTAAAGATGCTTGAAAAATGGTCAGTATTGTACTGCTCCAGCAATGACATGATGAATCCTGCTATTCTCAACTTTTACAAGACCCAGATTAGGCCAAAAATGGAATAATGCTGCCATATATGGGCTGGAGCTACAAGGTCTTCACTTTCCAGTCTTGAGTCTAAAAGCGTATCCATATTCTTGTGGGTTGTAAATTATTTTTCACCTTATAACCGATCTCTCACAGCCAAGACATCACAAACCTTTCACTGTTCTATCGCTATTTCCTTGGAAAGTGTTCAGATGAGCTGCACTTCTTAGTCCCACAAACCCTAACCCTTCACTACTAAGACTCGCCAGGCCATGCACATTGTAACGTACTACCTTCATTACCTTCATATTCCTTTGGTGAGAGGTAAGTTCCACTCAAGCAGCTTCTTCCCACAAAACACTGCTTTGTAGAGCCAACTTTCAAGAGGATGCTTCCCCAATCACTACAATCTTAACCTGTTCAAATATCAGGCTAACCATTATCTTCCACCCAGATCCACATAACTTGTGCCTCTTACTTTATAACCCTCTACCTCAAGTGGTCTCCAGTCCTTGTATTATAATGAAAACAATTTCTGAATTGCCTTATCTAAATAGATATTTCATCTTTGGGAAAGGGAAATGATGTCCTTGAGCAATTGACAAATGTTTTGTGATCGTTTTTAATATTGAACTGTGTTATGAACAAAAACCTTAATTTTTGTTTTTTTTGTTTTCTTTTAGAGTAGAATCTTCTTTGTATAAGTGACTCTATAAAATGTGGATTAATAAAAAATAAAAATAAAAAAGGAATGTCTAATAAATGTTTTGGTTTTCATGTTCTCTGCTTTTGTACATCTTTTCATATTGCTTGCAATTTGTATAAAATGTTCAAAAAGTGCTCTCTGTTGTGTGATGATAAAAAGCACTCAAAAATAAAGATCTTTTGGTTGAAAACTAAAAACATACAGAAGATAATAATAATTATAAGCTGAATTGACTGAATAACTCCTTCAGCCAATATTTTTTTTTCAGGTCTGGTAACAAAACTGCCGTATTTGATGGCATATAAGACACACTCCAATTTCAACAGGGCAAATCAAAAAAAACTTAGTAAAATTATTAGTAAATGGTACAGCCTAGGCTATATTTATGAATTTTAAACCTACATATGGCATATAATACGCAGGGGAGTTTTAAGATATTTTTAGTAATAATAAAAAAAAAAAGTGTCTTACATACCATCAAATACAGTAATTTCTTCAAAATCAGAAGCTATAATTTCAATGAATGTCTACCTTGGCAGTAAAAATGTCTCATCATAAATAAAATAAAAAGCAACAATAATATGAAAATTTAACTAATCAAATTAATGTATGTAATTTAATTTATCTAAAATAAATTGGTAACTTTTGATTGTCTTTTTAATTGGAGACAAAATGAAGGCTGCAAGTCTAAAACAAAAAATAATAGTATATTATGAAAGAAATATTAATATATAATGGAAAAAATAGTAAAAATATTATCTGTGGAGTTTTTTCTTTTTAGATAAGAACATCTGTGTGTCACTTACTGGAATCATTTTGTCTGGCTGATGAAAAGTAAGATAACAAGATTTCTTTTTTTAAAAAAAGTTATTTTTTTTTAACAGGCATTTGGAATGAGCCTGTTGTCTCTATCAAAAACACTCTGTTCATTGTTTTATATATATTTGATATAAACAAAGTTTGTTTTAAGAAAAATACTTATTTGCATTAAAAAAAAAAAAAGTTTTCAGATATGTTATTTTTAAAAATAAATAGGTGTAGATAGATTTGCTTATCATCCAGTTGACACTCTTCCCCAACCTTTTCAATGGGAGTAGAGGTTTATCTCTTTTTTTTTTTTTCCTGTTTAGGATTGGGTTTCCAGTTCCTTCTAAAGTCTGCTTCAGCTCTCTACTCCTAACACTTGTCCTTTCCTATGCTAATATAAGCCCACACAGTAACCTTCTACTTTGAGTGGCTTTTGGGCCTTGTATTGGAAGAACATTAGTTAAAAAGTAAATATTTATTAAAACAAAACCATTTGATGTTAAGAAGTCACAAAGAATTCATCATTTTAAGTGCAGTGAAAAAGTGTTTAATATATTTTTCATTTAGATCAGCAATTTTTGACATGACATTTGTCAAAGCATGCCATTTGTTTGTTAAAGAGATATTGTAAACATTTGAAAAAAAATGTTTTGCAAGTTCAATAGGCTAATTTTTAATCCTTAGGCTATTTCTAAAAATAATGTCAATTTAGAGTTCTAACGATTTATTTTGACAATTTATGTTTGCTACCTCTCCACCCTTTGCATGTGTTGAAAATTGTGTGATTTATATCTGCACTGTGTTCAACTTTAAATTCTTAAACATTCAAATGTCCAGTGAATGAAAATGCTCATTTGTAGTGAAATACTCGTGTATAAGCCGACTTCATATATAGTGAGACCCCCCCCCCAACTTGAATTGTTTTGTGAAAAAAAAAATTATATATATATATATATATATATGAAGAAATATATTCTTAAAGTGTGCTATATTTATGGGATAAAAGTGCTCAATATCAGAGATAGAGCGTGTGTAAATATAAAAGTGAACATAGAAGTCAACACTAAGAGGAGAGTCTGTTTCATGCTATATGCAATCGTCAGGCCTGATGATTGCATATAGCATGGAACAGACTGTCGCCCCTAAGTGTTGACTTCTATGTTCACTTATATATATATATATATATATATAGAGAGAGAGAGAGAGATAGATATATATAGAGAGAGATAGATATATATATAGAGAGAGATAGATAGAGAGATAGATATATATATAGAGAGATAGATAGAGAGATATATCTTTTTTGCTCTTCAATATCGTTAATATTCTTTTCGCTAATCCAACGATTGTCTCCTGATGAGATGTTGGCTGAAAGGACCCTAGAGACTTTTAAAATTAAAATCAATGGTTTCCTTGTTTTTAAAACTATATATATATATATATATATATATATATATATATATATATATATATATATAGAGAGAGAGAGATCCAAAAGTCGCACTTGGATCAGTTATTTTAATTTCGATAAACTTGCAATCAATTTACAAATTCATGAATTATTCATACAAAAACAAATGCAAAGGTTAATGATTTAATTGGCGAGAAGTTTATCGAAATTAAAATAACTGATCCAAGTGCGACTTTGGGATAATAAGTGCGACATTACTGTAATTATTGAACAATATAGTTCATGCCACTTTGACAGAAAATTTACCAGTAAAAAAAGTTCGCTTATCACCATATTTGTACAAGAACGCACAACTGTAAAAATTTAAAATCAAACTCAGCGTTGCTACTGCACGCTCCAAAAACAATAACTCATTTCCAATAGCATTTTTCGGATACAACAATACATATTTTTTCGTTGTCCTCTTATTACTGAGAGAAAAAACAAGAACAACATCTATTCCATACCTTCCATACCTGAAGATGTCTGTAGGAACAGACGAAAGCTTGTAGTAAAAATAAGAACTAATGCAGCAGAAATTCATAGAAACAAGGATCTTTTCATTCATAACAGGTTCGGGGTTTTTGTATATTATTTGAATTGTTTTATGACGATGGATTTCTCGCCAATTAAATCATTAACCTTTGCATTTGTTTTTGTATGAATAATTCATGAATTTGTAAATTGATTGCATGTTTATCGAAATATATATATATATATATATATATGTGTGTGTGTGTGTGTGTGTGTGTGTATATATGTGTATATGTATATATATATATATGTGTGTATATATATATATATATATATATATATATATATATATATATATATATATATATATATATATGTGTGTGTATATATATATATATATATATATATGACCCTCTGAAGATTTTTAATTCAGAGTTTTACTTCTCCTAGGCCAATTGCCATCCAAGGCTATAGAACCCAGTCTGTCCTGCTATTTACCTGTAGTTGGAGGGAGAAGAGGATTCATACCTTTCTCAAGGGTATTAGCACGTGAGTGAATGTAATGGATTCGACTGGAATTCAAACTCGGCTCCTCAATTCCCCCAATCCAAGCCGCTATCCATTACTCCACGGTGCCTCCTCTCTCTCTCTCTCTCTCTCTATATATATATATATATATATATATATATAAATATATAAATGGACAAAGTCCAACAATTTATTTATTAAAGACATTTTTAAAAAATAATGCTAAACATAAAATGTCTTTTAATATATATATATATATATATATATATATATATATATATATATATATATATATACACACACACACCACTGTGTGTCTTTTTTTTTTTTTTTTTTTTTTTTTTTTTTTTTTTATACACTTTCAGGTGCACTGAAAATTTAATTCAATTCCAAGTATGTCCAATTTGTCTACCAAATGTTCTAGAAATCCAGGATCATGATTTTACAGAGGCTTACCTTTCTCTGTTGGTTCCTGTCTCCCTGCTGGACAGGTAAGTATTTCAGCTTATCCCTTCCCAAATGTACTTCCGTTTCCTGTTCTCTCTCTTGACACTCTTTCTATTTTATTTAGGCATTTATGAATACAGCTTGCTGTTGCTTCAGTTTAAAGCAATTTCTGGGATAATTTTATTTAGTCTGATATATGTTTAATATTTTGATTAAACATGATAGACACCTTATTAATTTCTTATTGTAACAAGATAGTGAAATCATTTTTTTTCTCAACCAGAGTATCTCTCTGCTATAAATGTTGCATCAATTTACTTTTTTTTTTTTTATATAACCCAGTATAGAGAAACTTCAGTTTTGACATTTTAACATTGCACATAATTTCACGTCCTTATGACATATATGAACTCTGGTACAAGATTATATTTATTGTACAGTCAAGCAGTCACATTGAGGGAATTCACCATCTGTGAAGGCTTTGTTATTTGTCTTCTATCAGTTGATAGTTTAGAATAAGGGTAAATAGAAATATAAGTGCAGTCACTTAGCAGCCAATTCTGTTGTCTAAAAAAAATCTTTTGAATAAATATCCTTGATTAAAATATGCAAAATCAAGAAAGACAAAATATTGGTAGGTTTAGTGATGTCAATAGCAAGGGCAGATAATTAATACATTTTAGAGAACCAACAAAACAGTTTGCTAAATAAGAATATTTTGAAGATTTCGTTCTTTATTTTGAATTTTGATTCAAATATCACTTGAGACAATTTGGCCAATTTTGTATTTATCACCTTGACTTCATCAAAAAGAATTTTCAGATGAGACTTAAAAAGACTAAATAGTTTTGGTCAGCTGATATCAAACCCAAGTAATTTGCCTCTTTTTTTCATACTACATATTTTATTGTTTTTTTATTGTTCATTTTTAAAAATCTATTTAATTATTAAATATCATGATCTAATCTTTGATAGTTTTCAATAAATATGATAATAGTGAAAGAAAAAAAAACATTGTCACTCTGTTTAAATTCAGTGTCAATTTTGCTGTTGATTTCCAGTGGTTTGGTTGCCATTAAGAGAGAGAAACCCATTGAAGAAATTATGAAAATAGTAGCAGCAGCAACCTGTGAAAAGGTAGAGTAAATTTCTTCACTTAGATTATTTAATTTCAGTGTCAAAATAGGAATATTTTGAAATTTGGTATTCTCTGTTTTCTCATAAAGCAAAATATTTGAACCTCTATGAATTCTAAGTTCCTATTAGCATATTTACTTTGTATTAAATGCTTTTCACTGATTTGATCAAGACAGAATAATAAATGAATGAATTGAAATTTTTTGATTTATGAAAATATACATGAAAATAAGACTATGAATAAAAATATTTTTTGCTTCTGAATATTTTTCAGTGTGTTTACAAGTGTTTAGTTGCACTTAAGAGGCTTGCAGATAAAAGCAGAAAGAATAAAACATTACTTTTGGAACTCAATGCCATTGCCATTTTCTCCAGGTCAGTTTATTATATAAAGAGATGCTAAAAAGCTTTTGGTAATCCTTGGTATATTTTTTTTTTCTTTCCAAGACATTTTCAGCTCTCCTATATAAAAAGGTGCTAAATGACTCACTCCTCCCCTCCCTCCCCCCCCGCAAAGAAAAGGTATATAAAGTGTTTGTTTTTTGTTTTCTTTTGTTTTTTTTTGTTTTTTTGTTAAGAGTGATTTTAAGAAATGTGGGAACTAACCTGAGAAACACAAACTATAGGTTACTTGTCAATTTTGGGCATCACTTTGCATGTATGAGGTTGAGTCCCTAAAAAAACACGCTCATTATATATATATATATATATTTGTCTGACGATCGCTAAAGCATGAAACCCAGGGTCACAAACTCACATCTATCCAGCCAAATATGTTAGCTCTATCTCTGATATTGAGCGCTTTCTAATAAGTAACGCGCATATAATATATAAATAATTATACATACATATATATATTTATTTATACACTTTTCACATATGTGTGTGTGTGTGTGGTGCATTTCAATTTATATTACAATAAATCATTCATGCAAAAAGTAAATTAGTAAAGTTAATGATATAAAATGGCGAAATCTTTTGAAGGTCTTTCTTAAATAGGCAAGTTTGTATCCATTAGCAATAATACATTTCAAAAAAACATATTTCAATTCACATTATATTGTCTCAGATTTTTACCAAACAAAATAATTTCCATGCCTGAAGATGACTGAATGTACAGTCGAGAGTACTTGTGTATTTAAGAAAGACCTTATACAGCTTATAATTTTAAAAAACAAGAATCATAACATTCATCAACTGATTGGTAGGTTAATGCATCTTTAAAATTTTGTTAGCGAAGGGATTTCGCCATTTTATATCATTAACTTTACCAATTTACTTTTTGTATGAATGATTCATTTGAAACACTGACTTTTATGCAAACATAATTTCTGTTAAGATGGTTTCATCAGGTGTGTGAAATTTCAGATATAACATTTTTAGAAGGTCTGAAAAAAAACTTATCTTTGGTGACACATTTGTCAAAGTTCATCAGAGAATAAAATTTGTCAGCTAAGATAAGTTTTCTTTTTGTCTTTATTCACATTATATATATATATATATATATATATATATATATATATAGATAATATTAGTGGAAAATATACATACATATGAAAAATATATCTAAAAAATTCCCATACATGTATATTTTCAGAAAAAAATTTTCAAGAGGAAGGATCCAGGTAGAACTCAATGTCTAGGACAGAGTAAGATATAATAAAAGGCTTAAACACTAATATTCCATGGTCATAATTTATTCCATTGGAATCATAAATACGATCCAAATCATCAGACCTACAAATTCAAAATGAAAACAGAAAAAAACAACTCCGGAAATTAAAACAGAATTTTTTATATCTACATACATATACATGCACATACATACACATACATGCACACACATACACAAACATATATATATATAAATACATAGCGCATCACATAAACGTGCACAAAGGTACATTTAGAGATAAACATAATAGTCATACAATTAAAATGTCATGCCCGATGTTATAGGACCGAGATGGAGCCGACATAAGTGACAACATATCGTTATATTCATCTTCATATATTTATATTTGATTCATAACCTGTAGTCTATACTAATTTTCCCAATTACAAAGCGGCCCTTTAAGTAAACACAATTTATTTTCCTTCGTCCCATCTCTCTCCCCCACCCTTTCTTTTTTTTTTTCCCCTTCCTATCCAAATTGTCTGTGGTGTGTATATGTCACCACGAAATGTATCTTTATGTATTAGACATTCGTCGACTTTCTTTCTCTCCTCTTTTTAAATCCACCCCACCCACATCTCCAAAAATTCTCTCTGTTAAGGTTTCATGTCACTCCTCCTCATACTTACACTTTCTCTAAATTCTGTTTTGATTTCCGGAGTTGTTTTTTTCTGTTTTCATTTTGAATTTGTAGGTCTGATGATTTGGATCGTATTTACGATTCCAATGGAATAAATTATGACCATGGAATATTAGTGTTTAAGCCTTTTTATTATATATATATATATATATATATATAGGAAATGGATTAAATCCGACATATTATTTTTAATTTATTCTGTTTAAACATTATTTTTGATGGCTACTCATATTCAAGTAGAAGCTCTGTTTTTTAATTAAACAGTACTTTTTTTTTTATCCAGCTACATCTACCGGCCTGAATATTCAAGAAATCTTGTCAGAAAAATATGCATCCTCCGGCAGGATTTGAACCTGCATCACCAATGGGTAACCATCACTGGATCTGACGTACCTGACTGCTCAGCTATGTAGGACTTTCGGTCAAACAGAGCCCACATAGTGCCTTTTTGAATTAAAAAAAATAAATTAAAAATAACAATATGTTGGATTTAATCCATTTCCTAAAAATAAACTGTCTCCGTTTACATTAGAATATGATACAGAGCAGATATGGATATTTCAAGGATCTGCAGAGAAATGTGTAGGCACTATTCTGGCTCTTTTTTTTTTTTTTTTTTTTAGACTGGAAGTCCAACATGGCTGAGATCAAATGATGGTTTCCCCACAGGGGATGAAGGTTTGAATTCTGCCAGTGGACACGCATTTTTCTGACAAGATTTCTTACATATTCACACCAGTAGGTGTGGTTGGATAAAAAAAATACTGTTTAATTAAATAAACAGAGCTACTTGAATATAATTATCCATTAAAAATAAGATTTAAACACGATAAATTAAAAATTAAAAATTATAATATATATATATATATATATATATATATATATATATATATATATATATATATTCTAATAACTAATATATATATATTCATTCTAATAACTAATATATATATATTCTCTCGTCTGTTACTCCTCTCTTTGCTCTAACATTCATCCCACACTCTCTTACTTACACTCTCTAAATTCTATTTTTTATTTCCGGGGTTGTTTTTTTTTGTTTTTTTTTTTTGTAGGTCTGATGAATTGGATCGTATTTACAATTCCAATAGAATAAATTATGACCATGGAATATTAGTGTTTAAGCCTTTTTATTATATCCTTACTCTGTCCTGGACATTGAGTTCTACCTGGATTCTATCCTCTTGGAATTTTTTACTCAAAAAATATACATATATGTGTATGCACCTATGTATGTGTATATATATATATATATATATATATATATATATATATATATATATATATGCATGTGTATATTTACCACTAATATTAGTATATATATATATATATATAATGAAATGGAATAAGTCCAAGAATTATTTTAATATATTTATTGTTTATACGTTATTTTTATAGATACAAATATTTAAGTAAATGTTCTGTTTATAATAAACAGTATTAACAATATTTACCAGACTGAGTGTCTGAGAAATTTCCTAGAAAATGTGTCCTTCAACAGGAAACCTGTATTCTACACAGGGCTGTCATATAGCCTGACATGCTATACCATTTAGCTACAGAGGAAGTGTCTGGTTGTCAAGGTCAAATTACTGCTTTTAAGTGTGTGTGTGTGTATATATATATATATACACACACACAAATTTACCAGTAAAAAAATTCGTATATCACCATATTTGTACATGAACGCACAACTGTAAAAAATTTAAAATCAAACTCAGCGTTGCTACTGCGAGCTCCAAAAACAATAACTCATTTCCAATACCATTTTCGGATACAACAATACATATATTTTCGTTGTCCTCTTATTACTAAGAGAAAAAACAAGAACATCTATTCCATACCTGAAGATGTCTGTAGGAACAGACGAAAGCTTGTAGTAAAAAATAAGAACTAATACGGCAGAAATTTATATAAACAAGGATCATTTCATTCATAACGGATTCGAGATTTTTTATATTATTTGAATTGTTTTGACATGACGATGGATTTCTTGTCAATTAAATCATTAACCTTTGCATTTGTTTTTTGTGTGAATAATTCATGAATAATATATATATATATATATATATATATATATATATATATATATATATATATATATATATATATATATATATGATTTTAAACTCCTTTTACATTCATATTTATTATTACTCTGTACATTTTGAATCATTTTTTTTTTTTTTTTTCATGGAACATGTTTACTTTCATAAAAATGATTTTTTTTAAATCCTACTATTAACTTTCCAGATAATTATTAATACAACACAAGTCTTATATAAACTGTATATAAATGTCTATTATTCGTAGCTTCTTTTTTTTTTTTTTTCCTTTGACTAAACCTTATTCTTAAGGAAATAAATTTTAGCACAAATATGTTTATAAATCCATTTTAATTTCTGTATCTGTAATAATTTTCATTTTGTCCATTGTGTAAGCATTATAATAATAATGTGGAACTAATTAATTTGATCCAGTTATGTACCAACCATGGCGTTCTATATTAACGGGCCTCTGCATAGCACTGCTACCTCGATAGACTGGAGGCCGGCTGACAATTAGATCGTTTTAGTTTCAGTTTGAGCAAACTGCTGCGTACTGTGTACTCTTATGTTGTTGGCTCGAGAAATTCAAAGGAATCTTTTAATTTTACCTTTGGTTGGAATATCATTTAACTTATTTATTTGAAGTAAGTATATTTGATTATTTTAGTTTGAGTCCATACATTATTTATGTTTAAATTGTAAAAAGTAAACTTTGGTGCTTAAATTTACTTGCACAAAAAGATTTACTTAAGTTTAAAAAGCCTTAACATTTTTAAATTAAAGTTTAATTCATTTTTGGCATTTTCCCTCTTAAAGTTTCTTCAACATTTTTTGATTAAAGTTTAAAGAATTATTTATTGATAAAATGCAATTCTTTTTGAAAAATTTGTTATTTTAAGAAGCAAAACAAAACAACGTTTAACAAATTTGAACAGAATTTAATTTAGTTTCTTCAAAGACGTAAAGAAAACTATTTTTATTATAAAATGAATTAAAAATGTTTTTGTTTTTTTCATAAATTCAATGTCATTACTTAATTTGATATTTATTTTTGATATCGCTAAAACAAAACATTGTTATGAGTGAAAACAACGTCAACGAAATTAAAGTTTAATTTTCTCAAGTTTTTAACCACGATAAAAAATTAGCATAAGTCAACATTTTTCTTTTAAAAGTTTAAGTTTGAATAATAAATTTGAATAAAATTTTAATAGAGAAAGGTTCATTAACATTTCTCTATTTAAACTTTATCCAACATTTCCATTAAAAGTAAAAAAAAAAAAAAAAACAAATTTCTTCGCGCTTTTGTTTCCGAAGTTAAAGAATAAATGATTATTTTTACTACATTAGTTACCAATTGGTGAACTATGAGTATTTTTTACTTATTAGAATTAAAGAAAAAAATAACAATAATAAATTTATTACATGCAGTTAATATCAATATTTTAATTATTTTTTTTTTATTTTTTTTTTTTTTAGAAAGGTCTCCTTTTTTACACCTTTTGACTACAAAATTTATTTTACAAGACAAGTGTAATAATATCATTTTATTTATATTTATTTTAATATTTTTCTGATATTATTGTTAAAGGACAAAATGCATTATTTTTACTTTACTTTTAATTGTTTTGCTTTAAGGTAAAAAAAAAGTTATATATATTCCTATTTATATAGTTTAAAGCATATTAAAATAACTAAACTAAAGGCTACTTATGAATGTTTGTTTTTAAATTTAATATAAAGTTTTAAAGTAAACAATATTGGCCTTCAAATTTTGATACCATAAAAGTTAATGGAATAATACGTCCAAAAAATCCACCATCTGTATGGCCAGGTGTGCCAAGTAGTCAAATACCAACACCCTCAGCTGTTCAAAGGAATATAAAAAAAACCTCCAGTACTGTTAGAAATCAAATTGCTGATGAACTTAATGCTTTTTTAGAATTAGATAAAAAAAATTATACAAATTTGAAAGAAAGTCTGTAACAACAAAAAAAAGATTTTATATGTCCAGTTGTAGCATTTTTTTGGCTGAAAATATTTTAACTGTTCAATTATCAAAATCTATTGATGGTATTCCTCTCTTTATGTTGAAAATTTATAACAATTTAAACTTTGAAACATTTCATTATGGAGTTAAGTGTTATTAGCAGCCTGTCCAAAAATCATATAAATACAGTTGATACTTGGTCAAAACTGGAAGAAATCATCCAATATTTAAATTCTATGGCTTTTGATCACAAGAAAATATCCTGAGTCAACAATTTTTTAGCAATGGCTCCCAAAATGGTTGGAATAAAATACAGCTCAGATATAGTTGTGCATGCTTTTTTCGTACTATGCAAGATCCACGGACATTGTATAATGAATTAAGATATGATTTTCAATTACTCATTAGCAACATTATGAAGGATGACGTCAAAAGTTTCAAAACTTAATGAAAAATCTTTTTTTGTTATCTATATTTAATACTCTTAATAGTCAAAAAGGGTGCATAATTTTCCATGATGAAGTATATATCAAAAAGATGTTGCTATATCAACAACTATTTGGTAAATCAGTTGACAATCCATCTGTACTTGCTCAAACAGTACTTGGTATAATGTTGATATGTCTCAATGGGGGTCCAAATTTTCTTACGAAATTGATTCCAATTTCAAAATTAACATCCGCCTTTTTATTCGAACAAATTGAGTTAACAGTCCAAGCCATCACATCTGTACCAGCTGATGTAAAGGCTATTATATGTGATGGCAACCGCATAAATCAAGCTTTTTTTAAATTATATCCTACACTTCCTGAAAAACCTTGGTTAACTGAAGATAATAAACATTTGCTTTTTGATTATGTTCATCTGTTGAAAAATATTTGCAATTTGTGGCTGACAGAAAAAACAGGAGAACTAATCTTTGGTGATGGAGTAAGTCAAGTTGCAAAATGGACACATCTTAAACAGTTATATCGTTTTGAATCTGAAAGACTAGTCAAACTTTCAGATTTAAATGAAATTTCCATTGCTCCAAAGCCAATAGAAAGACAACGGGTTTCTACTTGCCTCAGAGTGTTTTCTGAAAAAACATATAATGCACTTCTCACTCAGTCTGAAATAAGTGCAGGTAAGAATGATACTGCCCTCTTCATAAACAAGGTTTTGACATGGTGGAAAATTTTAAATGTTAAATGCCTTCAAATTGATAAATTACATAATGATCCTCTACAAGCTGAAATCAAATCTCCAAATGACACCCGACTTGATTTTATCATTGAAGTTGGTAAAATGGCTCTTAATATGGCTGGCAGTCAAGGTAATCGTAAAAAACAATTATCCCAAAACACTGCTACTGCCATACATCATATTTGCAATGGAATTGTTAGTTTATGTTGACACCTTTTAGCTACAAATCATAAATATGTACTACTTGGGCAATTTTCAACTGATCCATTAGAAAAAGAATTTGGTAAATTTCGCCAAGGATCAGGTAGCACCTATTTTATAAATGTTCAACAATGTATTGAAAAGCTGCATATTAAGCAGACATCTTTACTTTTAAATCAAAATGTAAATATTGATGAATTTGATGTTAATCCAGGTCACCAATATACATCTTGTGATTATAAACTTTGTGAGGAAGGTTCAGAAATATTTGACAATCTGGAAAATTTAGAACCATCTTTTTCCAATGAAATAAAAATGGCTCTTGTGTACATAGCTGGATATATTACAAGAAATGATAATCAACCCAGTGAATGTGAAACCCATTTTTATTATGAAAAGTATGGAAAATATACCAATTTAATTGACCATGGAAAACTAAAAGTTCCTTCTGACCACACTTGTCAGTGGTTATTTTTTTGTTTCATCCTTTTCCATACAATAAAGGAAAAGGTTTGCTATAAATCATTAAGTAACATTTTTATGCTTATTTCTGAGTTTCATTTTTTCAACATGGAGAAAAAGAATGCTTCTATTTTTACAAATATAATTTTGAAAAATTTTTGCAAACATGGCACACCTAGATCAGAAAAAGAACCAGATCTAAAAGTTTTGAAACTTTCCTGGAATTATTTTGTTTTATTTGTCTATATTTCTGTGATGATTGATTATTATATACACACTTCGGCTGCTGTCTTCCAGCCTTCTTGGGTTCTGTTTGTCAAACCCAGTAACTGTAATGTAAATTTAAACCAAAGTCTTTATTCACTCACAGGGAATAGATTGAATAAAGGATTCAGTGACACCTGTAAATAATATAAATTTCTGATTCAATATATATTTTACCAGAAATCATAATTACCCCTTTGTGTTGTTTAATAATTATCAGTGTTCATAGCAAAAATGCATATTTTCATTTATTTATCTTTCAACACATCCTATTATCCTCAGGTGTGAATAAAAATGTTATTCTAAGTATTTCATAAAGTGGTTGACTTCATTTTCTTCTAAAATTTCTGAAAATCCTACATTTTTCAATAGGCCTCCAGTTCTGGCTCTCAGTTGCGCCATGACTTGGCCTGGAGTATAGAACGCCATGGTACCAACCCATTTTTTTTCTTATATTCATGAACATAAAAAGAATCAACCAATGATTGAAGTTTATAATGTTTTGCTTTTAATCTTTACTGTTTTGTTTTAAATCTTTGCTTCTGACAGTTGCCAAAATCTGTTGAAAAACACTGAAGTAGCAACATTGTGCCAAGACTTACTTGATGGCTTATTGGTAAAAGTGAACCACAACCAAGACAACAAAATTACAGTTCGCACTCTACAACATCCAACAATTGAAAAGTTAGTATTCTTGTTGGTTTTTTCATCACAAAACTCTTATTCAATAACACTTCATTATTACAATTATTTTTGCCTAATTAATTTTAGAAGTATATGAAAAAGAAAGTAATAATTATTTAGTAACTTGTAAGTTACAAGAGATTTTGACTTCAATGTTTTCATTATGATGATGATATGTTTTGTTACTTTTTTTTTTTTTGAAATTGTTCAGCAATGCAAATTTTGCAAGTTTTCTTTTCTGTCCTTGTAGCAACTTCCAAGTTTTTTGGTGCCAAAATAAATTCCGTCTTCTGTTGACTGTGAAATTAAATAATTCAGAATGGTCCGGTTGTAAATTCCACAAAACATCTGTTCATTTTAGGTAAGTTTTTTTTTTTTTTTTTTTAGTTTGTTTGTTGTTTTTTGTTGTTGTTTTTTTTTAATCTTTCTTCTGTTTAACTGACAGACATTTCAGTGTATGTTCACACACACACATATATATATATATATATATATATATATATATATAAAAGGTAACAAATCCGTTGGTATATAATCCAAGTGGAGCGATCCACAAAAAGAGCTCAATGTATTTATTTTTATAGAGCAAATAATTAGTATGCAATAAAATTCCAAATTACCTCATATGGGGAATAGACCTATATCAACCGACAAAAATTGGTATATCGTGTCAGAATTAGAAATTTAATTGTGACAGAATATATATATATATATATATATATATATATATAAGGTACCTCCAAAAATTTGTATACCTATGTTTTAAATGTATTTTTCATAAAGGGAAAATCCTTTATGAAGCTTTCCCCCAGCTTCAATTGAAAGTTAAAGGATTAAATTTTCTAATTCCAGAAAAAAAAATACTGTGGAGTATTTCAAATAGAAATTTGAATGTTTACAAAATTAGAGAAATTTAGACAAAACTTCCCTTTTGAAAATCCCTCTAAAATAAGATATACATTTCTGAAACATTACTTTCATAAAATTAGCAATTTTAAAGTTAAATTGATCTGTTCTGAAACAAATATCACTTACTTATAATATAAAATTTCCTGGACAAACATTTCTTGATCTTGGTGTATTGTTATTTTCACGTCTCCATCAATAATTTGATGGCCGAATGTGTTTACAGGTTTAGTATGGGACACCAAAATTGACATAACATTTTGTTTCTTATAATAATTTAAAATACTATAAAAATTTCTTACATTATTGAGTTACCTCTATCTCTTTCATTATTTAATAGCTAAGATAATGATAAAGTTTTATTAATTATAAATATTACAATCAGTTATTACATTTTTAATTTAATAACTGAGATAATAACTAATAAAATTATTATTATATTAATAATTAAAATATCTCACACTGTTATTGTTTAAATTGATAAATGAGATAATTTTATTAACTCAATTTAATTTTTAATTTAATAAATGAGAGTGGGATAAGACCTTTATGTGTCAAGGGACTTTCCCCAAAGAGGAGACAAGCCTTGAAACCTTTTAACCATAATGTCACTTATGAGATATCATACTAAAAAAAAAATATGACGTTTTGACATACACACAAAAAAAAAAATATTTTTAATTATGGTAAAAAGTTTTGATAGCATGATTTGTATTAAGCTTTTAATTTTCGCTTAGTAAATATAGTCTTCACTTAAAAAACTTAAAATCCTACCCGGTACTCTCTTTGGAAGAATTTTAAAACATTTTTTAAAATTAAAGAAAACTGAAAAATGCTAAAAGGAAAATGCAAACAATTCTTGTAAAAATTCTTTATTCTTCAGATAATAATGTCCTTAAAGTATATTATTTATAATAGCATATAAAAGCTTATCTAATTCAATAATTAGATAGTTTTATTGCAATTTTTATTTTACGATTTGGAGCAGATTTTTAAAAAGTAGTTGTGAAAAAAAAAATTGATTTAATTTCTCGAAGGAGTCCTTATAAGTAATATAAAACAATTTGCAAACTGTTTGAAATTCTAGAAAATTTGATAAAATTAAGTTAGGGGTGGGTAACAGATGTTTAAAAAAAATAAAAATTTCACAAATGAATGAATTCATTTTTGAAAAAGTCCTGAAAGTTTCATTACAATCAGACAATTATTTGATTTTTGCAAGAATTTCCAAAAGATTGGGTTTTTCCCCCGGAAACTTCTACACTAAAAATGGCGATTACCACAAGTAGCACAAAGTTGACAAAAAAAAAAAAAAAGATTTTTTTACCCAAATTTAAAACGTGTTAGAAAGAAAGAAAAAATTTTTAAAAATAATTAAAAACTACTTTGTTCTTTCCTCTTACTACTAACATAAACATTTTAAATATAAAACTTTTTTAAGTTTGGAGCTTTTTATCATTATGCTATACTGACTTTTAGTGAATTATTTGAGGTACCTAATATAAATAAAATATATATTATCAATTTGTGACTAATAAGGATAATTCCAAGAAGAGACCTCAATGTAAATAATAATAATAATAATAAGTCAAGAATTCTCTTCTCTCTTGTTTTCCCTTCGTCCTATTAGTCTAGTATATCAGTCCAGAGAAATTGTTTCCGTTTAAGAACTTTCAGTCCGAAGAGATGAATGAATAGAAATATTAACAAAATAAATTATAACTGAAATGGATCTTTAAGGTTTTCTTCTTGACTTATATATAATGAAATTCAGTATTTATGCTGTGGTTATTATACAATGATTTCTTTAAAAATCTTTCAGTTTTTTTTTTTTATCAGAAGGTTTCAGGCACTGTACCCTTCAGTCTTTCTTGGGTATCTGTTGCATTCAATAAGTGTCTTTAATAAGAACTCTTTATTGTTGTCATTCGTCTACCTATCATGTCACTTATCTCTTTCTTGTAGCTGTCAGTTCTTCTAATTGGACTTCCAGAGAATCATATGACCATTTTTAACAGCATTTTTATTCATAAGGATAAATCATTAGGCAATGAATATTTGGAGCCTTAAATCTCTTGTCTATTCTTTGTTAATTATAAGTTATAAAATCATCATTATAAATTACTGTTGAGAAATCAAGTTTTTTTTATCTATTTCTTCACAAAAAACATCTCTTCATAATATTAATTTAAAGTTGATAATTTGGTTGCTTTCATGCCTTTAGCCAATGTTCTTAATATTCTGCATCTTTTCTCTCACTCTTTTTCTTTACAGCACTAGATTATTAAAATATTTTTTTCCTTATTACTTTTTAAATTTTTCTTAAATCTCTTTTTCTGACATTCTTAAAGCCATTTTCTTTTCTTGCCAATGTTTTCAATTTCTTTAATGATTCTCTGATCAATTTCTTTGCAATTTCCAATATTATATTCCTCTCACTCAATAACTTTACAATATCTTGACTAAGCAAAGTTGAATAGTGCCTTTATTCAGAATAATTTTGACACTCTGTAGCTGAAAGGTGAAAGCACATCAGATCTATGACAGTTTCCCTTAGGGAAATGCAGGTTCGAATTCTGCCAGAGAGCACATATTTTTCTCTAATAAGATTTCTCAAATTTTCAAGTTGGTAAATGAAAATAAATGATCAAACCACATTTATGAATAACTAGCAGTAGAGCCCGGTGTTGCCCGGGGATATAACAGTAAGAGATAGATCAAGTATCGACCATCATAAAGACTGAAAAATAAAATTGACAAAGATTATTGTTTAAGGTTTACGGACACGCATGTCTTAATTAGTTTTTTTTTTTTTTGTTTTGTTTTGTTTTTTTTACGAATTGGTCAAACCTAAACTCAAACAAAAACATTGTTTTCAATCATTATGAGTCTATCGATTGAATAGAATTTTATTATAAACAATTGTCTTGTAAATGGAATTTTTAAAGCATTCTGAATGTAAAAATAAAGAAAAAAGTGTGCAAGACAATAAGAAACACTACCTGCCAAAAAAAAAAGTGAAGTTTTGCTGAAATCGGTTGAAAAATGTAGGAAATCCGATCACATATAAATGAACACACACAACCTGGGTTTTATAATAATAAGTATAACTCGATATGAGTTGTCCCCCTTTCATTCTGGTGACAGAATCGTGTTTTCAAATTGATTTTGTGCAAAAACAATTGTTTTTCTAATTTTGGGCGCTGTCAGAACCACCACAAGGTAATTTTACGCAGTCCTGTGAAGTTTTGTTGAAATCGGTTGAAAAATGTAAGAAATCCAATCCAATATATAAACATACAGACACACACACACACACTCTGTGTTTTATAATAAGTAAGATTATATTGGACATACCACTAAATGCCTATCATGAAGACTCGAATTACACCTCTCTGACCTTAGTTCAATTGGGACTCATTTAAACACACTGGTAAACTTACCAACTCCATCTGCAACATATTGTAGAAAATATAAGTATACACATGTGAAAAAGAGACTAAAAAATAATGAGAGCATTAATAATAAAAACGAAAAAGCCAACACCCAATAACATCAACTATAGACAATGTGTGCTGACCATGTTTGGAAAATAAAAAAAAAAAAAAAAACATTCCCATCACTCTAGATATATAAAAAAAAAAAAAAAAAAACTATACATTCAGTTAAAAATTAAAAAAGAAAATCTTTGATAATGGCTAATAGAATAACCAAAAGTACTTGGATATATTTGAACATTTAGACATTTTTTACATACTATGTCCAGAAAAGAAGTCATTTTGATGAACACATGAAAAATTGAATAAAAAGTTTAATCACAGTACTTTGTCAGTCATCTTTAAGGAAACTTGTATAAAAGAAGGATTGCTACCCAAATACACAATTATAAAGAATTATTGGATTTTTTATTTTATCCAATACTTTTATTAGTTCAAAAGTTATTATATATTTATATTATATTTGTTATATTTAGAACACATTTTCTTAAATTTCTTGAAAGTGCAGACTAATAAAAATGGGGTATATATTTCAAATAAAAAGGGTCCACTATATTATTTGAAGTTATATATACACACACAGACACAATTATTAACTTTTGACTTGCCTAATAAAATCAACTATCATCAAATCAGTTATTGCAAATATTTTTAATAAAAACAGATATTATAAAATAAAATTGGTAGAATATATTATACAATGATATTCTGCAATTTTACCAGCATTGGCTAATTTAATATCAGTTATATTGTGAAAATATTGACTTGCATAAAATCTGATATAGTGTATAATAATGTAATTTTGTTAACTTATAAATAAAACCGTAACTGCTTTGATATTTTAATGAATTGCAAACTTTCATTTCTCTTTATTTCAGTTTTGTTCTGAATGATGGTGTCAAACAAACAGTGGATTATGAATTGTTTGATGAAGTAGTTGTAGAGAAATGTGCAGTTTGTATACAAAACAATGAAATCATTCTTTCCTTTTGCAAAGCAGAATTTGAATATTGGCCTCGTCTACTGCAGGACAAGTACAAGGTAAGTAAATGGTTTCCGTCAAGTGGTTGTGTTTTGCTCTGTATGGTCAGTTCCTTCTTAGCAAGTTAATCTAATTACAATCTAACAATAGTTTTAGATAAAAGCAAAGCAAAAATCCTATTTTATTTTTTATTACAGTCAATAAAAAATAATTTTGATGTTAGTTTGAGTGGATGACATTACGAGTTATTTTGAGTGAGTCTGAAATTATGCAGATAACAATAACTTCAATCAGTTGGGTGTTTGATAAAGAGTCAGTGGAAAGTGTTATAAGTTGATATGACTTGTCCAGAGAAATGTGTACAGAGGGAGGTGGCCTATTTATATTCAAATGCTATAAACATCTGTTTCAAATGTCATCATAGATTTTTGTGTTCATCGGAAAGGTGGAAAGTGTGTCAAGTAGAAACTGGAGAAAAGCCATAAGATTACAGCAAATCGTTGGAGTCTGAAGAAAATGACTCGGTTCAAAGAGAGATTTAAGAGAGGCCTAATTGCAAATACCCTAAGCAACCTCAACCAGATACAACTGTATTAATATTAACATGTTCCCCTTCAAAGGAAATCATTTTTTTTTTCTTCTTCTTTTTTTTTTTTTTTTTTTTTTTTAAAAAAAGTACTTACACTGCTTTCCAACTTGAGGCTGTTTAGTCTCTGGGGAATCCCCATTGTTTTTTTTTTTTTTGGCCTCAACAAAGATCAGCAGAAAAAATCTTTGCTGCTGAAAGTGTTATGGACTTTAAAAAAACAAATGTTTCTCTTTTTACATTTACTGTTTGCTGAATATTTTCCTTTATTTTATTTTTTTCCTCTCTCTCTTCCTCTGATTGTCTTTCTACTTTTGAATTACACAGCCAACAAATCTCCATGTTGACTTTGACAAAATAGTAGACAGTGATGACTCGGGGTCTGAAGAGGTTGAGGCTGATGAGGAGAATCTGTTTACACTTCAAGGTAAATATTTGTCTTGTCTGTTGAATTTGTTGTACACCCAATCTCACATCAACTGTCAATGATATCTTTCTTTTTTTTTTTTTACTTTTCTTTTTTTAATTTTTATTTCATTTTTGCACTTGTTCCCTGACATTATTCTGATAAGCTTGAATACACCCCACTGCAGCAACGCCTGTATAAGCTGCATTTGCAAAAGAAATGAAAAGAACATTCTTAAAAACAGGTTTATGCAAATGAAAGATTATTAGAATCTGTTTAAAAAGGATTTCTCTTGAGTAGTTTTCTATCAATCATGATGCTAAATAACTAAAGAAAATGGTGTTCCTCCTTTCTGCTTTTGTTACTTTTTATCACAACAATTTTGGTTGTAAATTTATTCTCTAGGCTGTTAAGTTTGAAGAATTAATAAGAAAGAACCTCAAGCAAGTCTTGAACTTGCATGTGTTTCTACTTTGTCACTAATTCATCCTTTCCACCCTTTATGCTATTTAAATTTTGTAATTTCCTTTATTTTTTTCTTTCTTTATGCTTTTACTCTATCAGCAATAGTGAAATGCATTCACTTGTAATCATGCTATTCACTCATCTCCATTTAAATGTTGGAAAATGTTGTAGAATGATCTTCACACTTTCCAAAATGAACACAAATGTTCTTGGCCTTTGGTCATCAAGAAATACCTTAACTTTTATCACTCTGTATGTGACTTTGTTTGCTTTACAAAAAAGTTTATCCTGCCACGGAAGTTGATTCTGAGCCCTGAACACTAATGCATTTGAATTTCATAGTTGTGTTGTCTATGGCAACAGAAAACAACTTTGAATGAAATTAACAATAAGGTTACTGCAATTGAGCAGCCTTGATATTAATGCAGAGTGCTAAAGGTTAACTAGAATTTGGTGGTAAAATAATTGATATTACATCAGTGACAAAAGTTAGAGATGGCCACCAAAAGATTTATGCCTAATGGGGGGGGGGACTTGTGAAAGCAAGAATCTTTCTTTTTTGATACAAAACATAGACTTTTATGGACTTTTTTTCTTCACAAACATTTAAGAGAAAATATTTTCATTTGAACATCCTATTGAGTTTCTCACAAATAATTTAATACCAATTTTGTTTTCACTATTTTACATTGTTCTTTGAAAATCTTTGAGTTTGAGATTGATTGCCTCTTTGTAAGCAAAAAACAAGTTATTAATCTTAATGGTTACTAGGGTTGAGCCATCCCACAGTGATTTGAACTCATTATAATTAGGAATGGTCTCAGTAGGACTAGCTTTTGTTAATCACCAAGCATGCTTACTTATTAAGTATATCTAGTAGTGCAGTACCCAATGAGGATTAGAATTCTACCTTAGCCAACTGTTCTTTTTTTTTTTCTATTGTTGTTGTAAATGTTAAGCAAAACACATTCTTTTCTTCCATTCCATCTTTTACTGTTCAGTAATTTGTAACAGAAAATTAAACATTAAATGTTAACATTCAGAATTCTTTTTTCTTTTGAAAATAAATTTGTTTTCTTGTAGTTGTTGTTAAGAAGCCCTTGATCAAGTTGAAGAAGTTGTCATCATGTGATGTGGATGAGGAGGCTGAGAAAAAAGATCCATTACCAGTGGACTCTGCAAAAAGTGATGAAGATAGTCTAGAAAACAGTGACTTTGAAGAGTATGATCGTTTCAACATATTTAACACCAAATACGCCTAATGGTCTCTGACTGGGACGAATGTCACTTGTGCTAAAATGGTAATTTTTTTTTTTTGATCAGAGTATATTGGTCAATCTCGATTTCTTTTTCCTCCTCTACTGCTTTGAAACCATATAGATTAGCACCCCATGAATGCGAGTTGAAAGCCTAATTCACAAATCAGTGCACCCGTATACAAGTCCCTCTTCCAAGTATGATCAGCAAAAATATCGCCCTGAAAATACTTCCCCAACTCACAAAAAAAGCCAACTTTTGAACACTTTTATTATCAGTTTTAAAATTAGTACATTAATTTTAATAAATGCATCTGTGTATGTTTTACACTCTGTTCCCAGCCCATTGGACTGGAAACACAGCGTGAAGAGTATCTGATTTCCCCTGGTCATTTATATACAAAAAATAAATAAACCTCTAGTGACAAGAGGGCCATCTCCACAGGCTCTACCTCCTCATTGCACTTAGTGTGTTAAGGGTCTGGTCCTGACACCTAAGATATTCCAAAAGGAAACGGCTTAGAAATACATTTTTTTGTTCTTTGCATCACATCTATGTGGGGTTCCTATTTTAAAGTGAAGGGTGCTATATCTTATTCTTGTGTAAATATCATTGAAATAACATGCATATGTATCTCCACATTTTTCTCAGATAGGAGGGCAGATTTTAGCTAAACTGTGTGTATCATCCATCTACAGCACATATTTATTGCAGAAGGATTTTCAGATAAGAAAAAAAATCATTCTGCTGAAACAAAATTAAAGCCTGCAAAAATAAAATTCAATTTAGTGTAGGAATCTATTATTAATTTTGATTGCTTTTTATCAAAACACAAAAATCATATAAACTTATCAGTAAATACCATAATTGGAAATGATAAATAAGTTGCTATCAGGACAAAATTTTGTATTCCTTCTCATAGGAAAGTTGCAGTAAAAATCAATTAAAATTAAGATGAAAGAAATATAAATTGAACAATTGACTGATATAATACTTTGTACACAAACGCAATTACCACCAACACTGACTGTGCAAAATATATATATATATATATATATATATATATATATATACACACGTAACCTGAGTCATCATTATTTTTTAGATTTTGTTTTTGGTCAATATTTAAATTAAGAAATAAAGGTATTTATTTATGAAAAGAAAATAACCTCCAAAATTATTTATTTCAAATGTTGTCAAAAAACATTTAAAAAAAAAGATGTTTCCACACTGTGATATATACTGACCCTATTTAAATGACCCCAATCATCAGTAAAATAAAATGATAAAAGCAATTAGAAAAAGAAAAAAAAAAAACTTTTCTCAGGGATTCATCATTTCTTCTCTAAAACGATTTCTCAAAATATATGAATAAATTTCTTATCCTTCCCTTTTTAAGTCCTTATTGATTTTTATTTTAGAAATTCTGCCATTGTATTATCTTATTTTGTTATCCTTGAACTCCTATGAGTTTACTGCACAAAATAAGATAGACTTTGAATTAAAAACTGTTTAGTTCATTTTAGGAACTGTTATAGTATAAAACATTTTGAAATGGAATTATGTCCTTAAAGCAGAAGAGAAATGACTATTTGTAATGCAAGGGAGGTAGAGGATGCTGGATTGTTTTTGTTGTAACCAACAAAAATCTCTTTTTCATTTCTGACATCGAGCTTGTCTTTTTTCTCCACCTATCTATATATAAAGATATATCCTGTATATAAACAGGTTGTACCTAAAACAAAAAATGCATATTACTAATATTTAGTTGATTACCTGTTCAAAAATTATAATACCTATTCCAATTATATGTGCAGCAGCCATGATAGTTTACATTGGGTAATCTCAGCATTTTGCCATTTCCAACAAAAAGAAATGGCTAAACTCTTTCCACACTATAATTTTACCATGCCAAATGAGTAGCAGAAATTTTTAAGGCTTAATTAGCCTCTTAATAAATTATTCAAACTCTTTACACAGGTTCTGTATCATTGTCACTTCTAATACATTTCACTGAGCTTATATGGTTTGATTTCTGCTAAATTTTTCTTGGATCTTAGGGAATCCATCTTGAATAAGCATCCATGAAATCCTAGATCATATCACAATACACTCATTCCAATATTCATCATCTTCAGTACAAGTTTCACACTCGAAATTATTTTTGCTGTTATTTTCCTTCCTTCCTTATGGCACTTTCCAATATTATGATCTTTCTTTCACTTCAAAATTCATGCCATCCTTTTAACTTATCTGATACAGATTTAGACGCAATTGTATCGAGAAAGTACAGGCATTGCTTTCTTTTAATATTAAATCTTGTTCTATTAGGAGATATCAACTCTGTAAAAATTTAACAGAAGTCCATTTGTTAGTGATTGCAAATAAAAATATCCAGTTGAAATGAAATATAAAGTGTATATTTGAAATCTCTTTAACCCCCCCTCCCCCCGAAACATGCACAATAACGTGCGTGCACGCGCACACACACACACACACACCTCTTCAAAATGATATTATTCTGCTATTGCTTATCGTAAAGTGTTTTTGGAGTGTTAAAATTATTATAGAAATATGAAGATCTTACATATACTAAACTCTAAAAGCAACAATGCCTAAATATTGACTAATGAAAGATTATTTTGCAGTTTGGGCCAAAATTATAACCAATTTGCCTAAAGATTTCTATAATTTAAAAGTTTTCCAAAAGAAATGCAGCAAATTTTTTTTATGAAGTAAAACAATCCATACTTCAGCATCTGATTATGTAAAAGTATTTCTGCTGCTTCAAAGGTTAAGAAATTTGTTCAGATAATTTACAACCTTCTCCTTACATGTGACTGATCTCCTTATAATTTTATAGTATAAAAAAATAGACCTTAAGCAGACAAAAGTGCTCAATGCTTGATAGACTTAATAGTTTGTGAACAGAAAGAAAGAATGGCATTTTGCTAATGAAGTATCTCTAAAGTCATTCCAGCAACAAGGCCTCTGATCAGGAGATTTTGAGGAACATTGAACCACCGCTTAATTGCTGTTGTTCCCAGGTCCACCTTGACCAAGGGTGGTAATACCTGTTAGGGTCCCAACTATGGGCAAATAGTGAACCCTCAAAATGGGGTCAAGACACTATGAAAGTATAAAAATACATTTTTATAGTAAAAATATCAACAATACATTTTCATGGTAAAAATTACCAGCATTACATTTTTGCAAAAGAAATTACTAATGCTCCCAAGAAAATTAAATTTCAGCATTAAGACCCATAAGAAGTTGATATGACATTAAACAAATGTCTTAAGTCAGTGCTCAAGTTGAAGATCTTGTGGCATGGGTTTCAATAGAATTGGGGGTGGGGGAGGTAATTTATCACTTCCAAGTGAATCACATGATTCTTTGAGTTTCTATATATCCTTAATGGTTAAAAATTCGTCCAAATTCCAATTTCAAAATTTTCCGTCCAAATTCCAATTTTTTATATAAGCAAATATTTAATTAACTTGGCAGTTTACTATTCTATCAATCATATTTAAAGCTTCTGTCTATATTTCTGAGATGAGGTATTATGTACACTATTTACATTGTTTGGACTATCATCCTCATCTTTGTTGCCATATTTATCACAACGTTTCGGCTATTGTATGCTCTGGCCTTCTTCAGGTGGTTGGAATGTCAAACTGAACCCTTTATTTCACTCGTGATAAATATGGTAACAAAGATGAGGATGATAGTCCAAACAATGTAAATAGTATATTTAAGGCTTGAGCTTCTTGTACAGATTATAGAAATGATGTTGAAAACACAAAGTACGAACACACTTGTTGTTCTCCAAATAAAACCTATATATAGGGTTTATTCAGTTATGTCTATTTTTTGAAATTATTTTTCTTATCATTGACAGTTTGGGTTTTGTATCTTTACAATTAAAAATATGAAGGAATTATCCGTTTCATGTCCTAGTTCTGAACTTTCAACTATCAGTCACCATCTTGAATCAATGATTTTTTTTTTTTTTTTTTTTTAATGGTTGTTAGCACTCCCCTGATGACTTTTTACCCCCAACTGAAACAAACCGTTAAACATTCTATATATATATTACAATCACTACTATGTAACTTTCCCCATGAAATCATCTCCCAGATTGCTGTACTTGTCTCATTTTTACAATGCACATACAAACAGGCTTCTTCAAGAAGGTGATGTATGGTGACTAGAACCACCTTTGCAGCAACAGGCTGTGAAAACATTTCTCGGATAAATGTCATTTGATGATAATCTGAAAAATTCAAGTCATGACTAGACAGTTGATGTGGAGAAGCACTCTTTTTTTTTTTGTCAGGTTGGTCTGGGTTTGGTGGGTGGAATTGTCAGCAGCAGGATGTGACACCCTTACGTAAACATCCTGGTCTCTTTTGACAAACTGTTCCACTCGGCCTGTTGAGTATTTCACAGCATTTATGTTAGATGTTTGACCGTCTAGTATGAAATCAACACACAGCGCACCATTTTGCATTCTAGGACATAGTTGTCATCAATTTCTTGGAATTTTTGTGAGGCTCAACCCAGATCTCATCACTCATGAGGATGTGCTCCAAAGCTTATGGCCATATCATGCTGAAATACCGGTTCTCATACAATCACCAAAGTTAAGCAACATTGAGCCTGTTCAGTACCTAGATGGGTGACCACTTGGGAATACCAGGTGCTGTAAGTTTGGATGTGCATGGAGTGTAATGGATAATGGTTTGGAATTGGAAATCAAAGAGCAGAGTTCCAATTCCAGTTGGATTCTTTATGTTCACTTATGCATAAATACCCTTGAGAAAGGTATGAATCCACCTCTTCTCCCCCAACTATGGATTAATTAGTAGAACTTGTATCAGTAAATTATTACAATTTAAAAAACACTGGCTTTAAATAACTTGCAAAAGGTTGATAAACTGTAAAACAAATTAATTTCATCCAATTTCACTAATTAGAAGAGAGGCTTTGATTCATTGACAAA